TTTCGAAAAATAAAAATTCGAAAAAAACAACAACCAATTAGACAATTTCCACCAATCTAAATTACCTTTATCTTGTTCTTTTTCAACTATTCTTCAAAGATATAAACTTTAATTTAAATTTGTCCGCTTAAAAGATTGGGGTTCCAATAACCTTTTTGATATACGCGTATGGTTCTCTCAAGATTGGTTACTCTTCTTTCTCAAAATTCAAACCATTTAACTGGAAAAACCCTCGTTTAACTAAAAAAATAAAAAATATGCAAACGATTATATGACACTTTTCTTCTTATTCTTTGAAGATAAAAGTAGATTTTAAAAATAAAACAAACAATAAGGTGGTAGTGAGGAACTATATACCTTGAATATAGAGATTTTGATTTTACTTTGGAGAAGAATAGAGTTTGTAGCAACATAATCCTGCAAATTATCGAACACCATTTGTACACAATATTTAACCTATGGACTGAGACATAGTAAAACACACAAAAACTCAATCATCGAATGAAATTTCAAACGATTACCACCGAACATATCATTAACAAACAAACATGATACCTTCAATTGAATTAGGAGCGAGAACAAATAGATGATGAGTTTCTCTTCCTTGTGAGCCGCGATAGCCACCACCTGCAACTAATAATAATTCAAATATGTGCTTACAACCCACGTATTGAAACTTTTTAACACAAAATCCATAATTCTATGGAATTGGAAACTAACTTGCAGAAGAAGCAACAACGAACATGGCCACATGATAGATGTCTAAGAAAGTAATAGGGTACTGATTCTGCTTCTTGTTGATCCTTCTTCTCCAAAGATGCAATTGAAACCCAAAAATATTAAGGATCGTAAAACCCTTCTTTGTTTAATTTATTTTCTACCAAAATATTGGACCAATGATATTGGATTAGACTCATTCAAACTTACAATAATATTAACAAACCGTGGATCCAACAAACTAAAAAGAGAAATCAATAAAAAAAAGAAAAAACTATTAAAAATCATACTATTTTTTATGATAGAGTCTTCTTGTTCTCTTCGAATAAGCTTTGAAATATACTTTGTACCAACAAAACTTCTTTGCAATTCAATTAACCAAACAAACACCATCACTTAAACAAAGAAAGAACCGACGATATTTATAGGATACGCAAATATTCTTATCTAAAACAAACAAAACATTTAGGAATCTTACCAAAGAATCTTAATGCGGCGATGTTGAATGAAGAAAAAAAAGCCTAACCAAAAATTATTTATATGATAAGTGATTAGGGTTCCTAACAACCGACGATAACTTGCAGGCTATGACGCAAAACATATAGAATAACGAAAATTAAGTTAGAATTTACATATCATAACTTAATTTTCTATTGTAATTGGATGTTTGAAATCCTATATGGAACATCATAATGTAAAAATAAAATAAAGAAAAGTCAATATCTAAATAACCAAGAAAAAACAGGAAATGTTTGAGGTAATAAGGTTATGAAATAAGGAAATTAAGTTTTAGTTTTCTATTATGAATGAAAATGAAATTAACCTAATATGAAATATTATTAAGTTTTAGTTATTATTTTAGTTAAACTATTTCCTTTTTTAATTCTTTCTTATTTTGTTAATATATACTTTCCTTACTTTTTTGTAGACATTTTTTTGGTTAATTTTCTATTTTATTTATGAATGCTTACATGACATGATACTATAAGTTGATTTAAATCCTATGTGAACGTCTTTAGGAGTTTATAGCCTCAACTTTTATATAGTATAGATTAATTAGAAACTGGTAATAATATGTTATGATATGTATTATGTGTGGTAATTATACTTTTGTTTGCTTCGTGTTTTAGCTGAATCTGAATGTTTTTGATTCACATTTTAAATCTAATAATGAAATTCTCTTTTAAACTATAGTTGAGTTTGAATTTGTAAACATGGTTTATGACAAAGTTTTTTAAAAAACTTAAATAATTATTGCGTGTTTGGTTCGACGTAATAAGTCATAGTAAAAAGGTTTGTATTAGAATATATTTATACATTTTTTAGTAGCTCTATATATAAATTGACCAGAATTAGGTTGTGTATATGACATTCATGTAGCACATGTAGAATACCAAAGCATGTCCATTATTATTTTCTTCCAAATGCTGAAGCAAGTTTTTTCAATGCATTTCGATGTCATCTATATCATACGATCCAACAAATACAACTCTAACACAACATAGATTTCTTTCCTCGCTTCAACAATGGCTTAACTAACCAAAGTTGGCAATGGAAGTAAAGTTGCCCTCTTTTAAAGCAGAAGTTCTAAAATAACGTTAAAGGGTATGCAGAAGATACGAAAGAAGGAAAAACTACAGAGAATAAAGAAAAC